ATTTACCTGAATGAGGGAAAGTGTCTGAAAAATGCTGGGTGATGCTACGTTTTCTTCTAGAGTCCTTAAAGAAAATGGAGAAAAATCAAGGCAGCAGAACTAAGACCAGACGTGCAGATTCAAAAATGCAGAATGTAGATACATCAAGAGAGGAATCATAAGGATGTACAGGAAGTAAAAGGACTGTATTTACTGTTTGAACATGTTAAGCTGTGGGGCAGATCTCTATAGCTGTGCTGAAACAGTCCTGGGACAGAAAGTTGTGAATTATATTAAAAGGTATGATCTATATATTTTTAATTCTGTTCTATTTGTGCCATTTGAGTGCAGCAGATGTGTTCAGACTCCCTACGTGAAACTGAAGCTGAAGCTGTGGTTTTGCATGTTGGTCAGTCCAAAAAGATTTTTTATTCAATCTGTAGGGTTGCCTTGAACATAGGAGTGTTCCCTGGATCATAAAGCTGTAGGCTGCATTTGTCAGCATCCACCAGCATCCCATAAGCAGGCCCTGTGTTACAGGGCAAGCAAAACTGTCAGTTCAGGCTAGGCAGACATGAAGAACACTAAGTTCCTATGTGCCTGGCAAGATCATGGAGCTGATACTCCTGAACGCGTTAATAATGAACATGAAAATAAAGACAAGGTGATAGGTGGTAACCAACATGGCTTTACCAAGGACAAGTCATGCCTGACAAACTTGTCGGCCTTTGATGGTGGAGTTACAGCATAAGTGGATAAAGGAAGAGAACCTGACATAGAATCATGGAATCACTCAGGTTGGAAAAGACCTTGAAGGTCATCGAGTCCAACCATGATCTACCTGGGCTTGTGCAAGGCATTTGTCCTTGCCCTAGTCACCAACTCGGGGGAAAATGGATTTGATGAATGGAGCAATCGTTGGATGAGGAATTGGCTGAATGGGTGCACTCAGAGAGTTGCAGTCAACAGCTCAACATCCAAGTGAAGACTGGTGACAAGTGGCATTCCTCAGAGATTGGTTTTGGGACTCTGCTATTTAACGTTTTTGTAGGCAACGTGGACAGTGGGACTGAGTGCACCCTCAGCAAGTTTGCAGTCAGTATCAACCTGAGTGGTGCAGTTGACATGTTAGAGGAAAGGGATGCCATCCTGACGGGCCTATAGAGGCTTGAGTGGTGGGTCCATGCAAACCTCATGAAGTTCAACAAGGCCAAGTGCAAGGTCCTGCACCTGGGCTGGGGCAATCCCAAGCACAGATACAGTTTGGGCAGAGAATGGCTTGAGAGCAGCCCTAAGAAGGATTTGGAAGTGTTGGTTGATGAAAGATTCAGTATGAGCCAGCAGTGTGCACTTGCAGCCCACAAGGCCACCTGTGTCCTGGGTTGGATCAAGAAAAGTGTGACCAGCATGTCGAGGACTGCCTCTCTACTGTGCTCTTGGGAGACCCCACCTGAAGTATTGCATTCAGTTCTAGGGCCCCCAGCACAAGAAGGACATGGAGCTGTTGAAACAGGTCCAGAAAAGGGCCATGAAAATGATCAGTGGGCTAGACCATTCCCTGTGAGGACAAACTTAGAAACATGGGGCTCTTCAGCCTGGAGAAGAGAAGACTCCAAAGGGACCTTATAGTGGCCTTCTAGTACTCAAAGGGGGCCTTTATGAAAGCTGAGGAGGGACTTTTTTTAAAGGCAGGTAGTGACAGGATGATGGGAAATGGTTTTAAACTGGAAGAGGGTAGATTTGAACTAGATATTAGGAAGTAGTTCTTTACTCTGAGGATGGTGAGACACTGGAACAGTTGCCCCATGAGGCTGTGGATGACCCCTGCTTAGGTCAGACTGAATGGTGCTTTGAGCAACCTGATCTAGAGGGAGGTGTCCCTGCCTATAGCAGGGGGTTGGAACTAGATGATATTAAAAGTCCCTTCCAACCCAAACCATTCTATGATTCTGTGATAGTGTACTGGGTCACTGTTCAGCAGTTAGGTGGAGGGAGGACTCAACTGCACCAAGGTACCAATTTGGTGTAGAACATAAATTAAATAGGTAATACTAGGTGAGTGTGTGAGATGACAATGATTATCTTTCTGTAGCATTAAAGAGAGTCTCTTAGAAATCAGAAAATACAAAGTCAGTTTTATAGGATTTTTTTTCAAATGAGATTTTTTTACTTCAGAACAATTTTTGGTTTCAATAGAATGGACTCTGAGCCCTTGCTGGTTTACCTATTAAGACAATGGACAAAGAATAAAATTTGGGATTTCATTTCTATTGTTTACATTCAAATAGAGGGAGGTTATTATTTTATCTAATGATCATTTTAATAAATTATGGTGCTACTGGTACCCTCCTGCTTTATCACGTCAGAATCATTCTGAACCAATTTCCAGATTGTTTCCACATACCAAGCATGGGTTTTTTTAAAACAAAAATGTTGCATTTTCTGTGATCTAGAAATTAGAATTCTAAGTCAGAGTGCAACTTTCTTTTTTCTCTCAAATATTCACAAGCTACTTATGTTCTGCAGGCATGTGGCATGCAAAATGGCACTGCTTTTGTTTTGCAAATAGAAAATCCATCAATGTCAGCAAAAATTAGTGTGCACCAAATAAGCATGTGCTACAAGCAAAAAAAAGTGAGAAAAGTGTATGAGGATCTCAGAATCTTTCTGTGGCTGAGTAAAGGCAGGGAGCTACCTTTTCTATACATATGAAAATCACTCCTTGAGGAAGTATGTAGGTCTGAAAGTAATGCCTCCTATGTATTTCCATAGAAACTACAGTGGATATGAAGAGCATAATAACACTGTTTCATATGGCAAATTCTCAGCTACAATACCTATTTTTCGACATAGTCACCACCATTAGCTGTGCGTTTTTACCAGCAGTGAGCAAGAGCCTATTTGTCATGCTCATAAAAATGTGCAGCAGCAGAGGTGGTCCACTGTTGCATAACAGCTGTGATGATGTAGTTGCTAGAAAAATGTTGCTTATGTCATCTGTCATACATTGGCCTGAACATGTGAAAGTCAGAAGGCACCAAATGCAGACTATACAGTGGCTGTCATAGGACAATCCAGCCAAGATTGGCATTGTACTCCATGGTATTCAAACTGATTTGGGGCCTGGCATTATCTTGCTGCAAGAGAAGGGTTTTTGTTTATCAGGCCTGACTCTGGAAGTTTGGTACTTCAGCTTTGTCAGCATCTCAATGTAGTGGTCAGAGCTGGTGGTTTGTGTTCTGCAAAATGCAGAAGGATCACTCCTTTCATAATCATGATGTGATCGGCTTTGTTCTTTCAAAGCTGTCCAGTTCAGGGAGATGCTAATGCAGTAAATTGTCTTTCATTCTGAAGTTGTAGGGATAAATGAGCATATGCAGAATATCTGTATCTCTGCGGAAAAGGCAATGATTTTAAAAGGAATGGACCAGTCATGAAAACACACAGCTGTTATAAAAATGAATTAAAAATTGATTTCCACCTGTAGTGATGTCTTTCATCTGAAACAAAAAGTAACTGTCTCAAATTAAAAACCTGATCTTGCAACTTTCAAGAAGTACTTTTTACATAAAAGGGAAATGTTCTTGAATTATTTCTTTCACGGGCAAAATTTAAGTAGGTTTTGGTCTAGCAGTGAGTTGGTAATCATTTTGTGTCCACATGTTCTCAAGCTATTTTTGAAGCATTCATGCCAAACACCCTGGGGGAGACTGATAATATAATTTCAGTCAAGATATAAAGTCCTTTTCTGAGCCTGTACTGAAATCACTAATTTCAAGACTTTCATTATCAGCCATATCTCTTGAGAGCAAGAGAGCCAACAAGGTAGTTTCCATTCTTTGCTGAGCTCCTGATAATGTTTACCCAGCCCCCTACTGAGGCCAGCATTGTATTTGAAGCAAAATAGGTTTCTAATTGTATCCATACAATGTATGTAGAGATTGTTGATTGAATGCACAGTGTAACAAAGGCCTTGCAGAGAGATATAGCTGGAGCTTTAAGCAGTCAGCAATGGCACAAAATTCAGCATGGGAAAATGCCTGGTTCTGCACGTGGGATGAAGAGTGCTGGACATTGCAGGCACAGCTGGAAGATGAGCGGCTGGAGAGCAGCTCAGTAGGAAGGGACCTACAGGTGCTGGGGAGAGATGAGCCAACAGTGTGCCCAGGCAGCCAAGAGGCAGACTGCCTTGTGATGTACACTGAACACAGCAGAGCTAGAAGAGGTGATTTTCCGTTGTACATAGAGTAGATGTGGGCTCACCTTGAATGTTGTGTGCAGTTCTCTGCTTCAAAAAGGATGTTAAGGTCTTTGAAGTAGCTCCAGGAGGGCAGCAAAGCTGTAAAAGAGCTGAAAAATGTGTCCTGTGAGGACACCTGGTCTGTCCAGTTTGGAGGAAGCTGAGAGGAGAGCTGGCTCTCTCTGCAGCTCTCTGAGGAGAGGAAGCAGGGGGATGTGGCTGGGTGATGGTGTGGCTGATGGCAGTATGGGAGTGGCACAGAATTGTGCCAGGGAAGGTTCAAACAGGATATTGGGAAGAACGTTTTTACTATGAGGGATTCCAAACCCTAAAACAGGCTTCCTAGGGGCGTGGTTGGTGACCCATGGCTGTCAGTGTTCAAGAGGCACTTGGGTAATGCCCTTGGTCACATTCTTTAACTTCTGTTTAGCCCTGAAGTGATCAGGCAGTTGGAGTTAGTAATCTGTGAAGGTCCCTTCCAACCAACACGTTTGTGTCAAAATACTACTTGCCACTCATTTCACACATATCTATTTTCAATATTTTGGTAATTTGTTTATGTCTTCTCACTGTTGCAGTTGCCAGTTTTCTGGGAGTTAACAGAAGTTGACCTTGTTTATATCACTCATTTCAGAAAAAAAAATCAAAATTTTTGTTTCGTGCTGAGAGGGCTATGAAGAAACAGCAGTAGCTGTCTTGAGTTCCTTTATATGATCTATGAGTATTTTGCTTGTAGAAATGTACATGTTCATATTAAGTTGCTGCTTACTGTTTTTTGTAGGTTAAGTGCCTTTTTCCCTTTTCCTCGACTGCTGGTACTTAGCCAACGTGAGTGAAGAAGTAAGTTTTTAGCTTAAGCAATTTTCACATGCTTCTGAGAATGAGAAAGGGTCACAGGCATCATAGCAGTCTAAATGAATGTGTAATTACTATGTCAGGAGCTCAATCTAAAATTCACACATGTACTCTAAGAGAGGAAAATTTTTGTAGTAAAACGGGAGAGTAACATAAAGATGATAGAGCAATAAACAGAAAGAGAAATACAGGTCTGCATCTTCCTGATGACGGCCTTCCAGTTTCTTTAAGGAGCTTAAGAAGATGAACCCAAACTCTTGCTGTAGTGCATGGTATGAGGACTAATATGACAAGCTTATATTGCAGTAAGAGAGGTTTGAACTGAATATAAAGGGGAATTTGTTCGCTGTGAGGTCATTCAAGCACTGCAACATGTTGCCCCAAGGAAGTGGTATGGTATTTGTCCTACCTAACCCCATCTCATCATTTGAGCAGGGCTTGGATTAAAGATCCTTTGAGTTCCCTTCCAACTTAAATTATTCTTTGGTTCTTTGCTGCTCTCCTCAACTGTTGTAGGAGACTCACAAAATTTACGTGTGCCTGCTTGGTCTTTCTACTTCTTTGTTTTTAAGGGATTGTTGTGGTTTTTTTTTCTTCTGTTTTTGTTGTTGCTGTTGTTGGTTGTGGGTGTAAGAGGGGAAGGGTCTGTTATTATACAGGCACATTATTTTTTTCTGTGTGCATCATTTCCTGAATTAATGATTTCTATGTGCATGTGACACTGTTACCTCCTCTTTTGCAATTCTTCATTTGCAGCATCCCAGATAAGAAGAACTTATTGTATCTGTCTGATCTTGTCTTGCAATAACATTTAACTGCTACTGTCATTTCACTTGCTGTAATCAATGCACAGGGGAGAATAGGTGCTTCATAAACAAGCGTTTCATAAACATAAACCTTGCAGATGTGTTTACTGCACAGTACATAACTCCAAATGTTCACATAACTTCATGAAATTGTAAATAAACCAGCTGTATTTGGTTTTCCACTTTCCTAACTTAAACAGCTGTTGTGTGTCTAGAGTTAAGGTCAACTAACTTGGCTTTCTAACTTACATTCAGGCAAACACCACTGTTTGTTCTTCCAGGCTGATTTTTGAACATTTCTTTTGAATGGAAAGTTAAAGAAAGATATGCTTCTGCATGTCTAATTTGAGAAACATGGATAGTTGACTAATTTCATTCTCTAAGGATGATGACTCTGCAAGCTCTTCTGTGCAAGCTTTTAAAATGTAATATGGAGCTTGTGAAATATCAATTATATTGCCAAGTAACTGATTTCTCTATAAAAATAATTGCAAAATGCATGTAGCTTTCATTCTTTTCCCTTACTACTTTCTTCTCTTCTTCCTCAGCCTTCCCTGCCTTCTACGTGCACACACACATGCACATGACAGGATGAAAGATTTTTCTTGTCCTGACTGCATCAGCTACTTTTTTCTTCTTCTACTCTTGATCTTCTTTATTTTCCCTCCATATCTTATTCTGTATCTGGAAAGACAACTACATCTGTTTTCTTTGCCATGATTACCTATGAATCTACATCTCCAAACTTTTGCCTTTGACTTTCATACAAACAAGGATATTGGCCTATCTTCCTATACATTTATTTGTGAATTTATCACTAAGAAAACCTAGACATGGCCTTAGACAGTTCTTGGTTACTCAGCCAAAACCTTTTCTTCTCAATATCTTTCTGAACTGCTGGGGAAGATGGAAACACACTGCTTGTGTTGCTGTTTTAAAATGCTCTCTTCTGATTAGATCTCTTCATTTATTTTATGTCAAGTAGCCGCTGAATAATAAACAGAAAACTTGGGCAAGATGGAAGAAAACCTCATTATTTCCTAACCAGGTATTCTGAACTCTGTTCTGTAGTCGTAGTCTCTTCTGCTTGTGTATTTTTAGAACCATAGAAGCCTTAGAGTTAGAATGGATCTTTAAAGGTCATCCAGTCCAACTCCCCTGAAATGAACCGGGACATCAGCATCTAGCTTGGGTTTTTTAGACCCTGATCCATTTTGACCTTAAAAGTCTTCAGGGACAGGGCATCCACCATATCTCTGGGCAGCTTGTTTCAGTGCCTCACTACCCTTTGTATATAAGGCTTTTTCCTTATATTCAATCTAAATCTAAATCTCTCCTCTTTTAGTTTGAAACCATTTTCCCTTGTACTGTCACCACAGACTGTTGAAGAGTCTGTCACCTTCCTTATTGTAGCTCCCCTTTAGATATTGAAAGGACCATATTGTTCTTACCAGAATGGAAATGAGGGATAGTGAACAGTTCCAGCTTGTATTATTCTATACCATAAAAAAATAGGAGGGCTGGGATTGAACTTCAGCAAGATAAGATGATAGTTCAGTATATGCCTCCTGGTTTATATATGAATGGCCAGGTATATTTTTATTCAAGGGAGGCAGTAGCATAGATTCCTCCTGTTTTATAAAGCCTACACCCTGTTTGCTCAGGTGGCTACCTATAAAATAGAACTTTACACTCAGAGTGGACGGAAACACTCAGCATGCCAGATACAGACTTCTCAGAAAATTAAAATCAAAATCACTCTAAAATTACAAAATAATCATTGGTGATTCTGCTTTCAATTTGCTTTACAAAGGAAGTGATGCTATTTGATCTCACAGTCTATAATCCCTATTACCTCCAATAATGCATTATCCTGTTGCTCAGTTTAAGTCACATTTAAACAGGATAGAGATCCCAAAGATAATGGAAAAATACAATTTTTGTGAAAATTGTTGAATGGAAGAGAGATATTCCAATTACACTGGAGCACAGTTGTGCAGAATTTCAGCAAGGCTACATTCCATTAGGCAAAAGCCAACTGTATAGTCAGCATGTACATGCTGGCCCACCAAACTACTCACATTGAATCTGCTCCATGAGCATGAGTTTAGCTGCAGCCTTTCTATCTGTTGGCCACTGAACTGTCATGGAGGATGTCAGGAAGAAGGAGGCTGGTATTACAGTGGCAAGGTAAACTAAATTCTTAGAAAATTATTAATTTCACTGCTCATGGAAGAATATGTGTTGTTTTTTTTCCCCTGCTTTAATAATAAGGTATTGCCACATTTTATGACTTAACTCCTTTTGACTCAGCATTGCAAAACCTTTTCTGAAAAAGCTTTTCTTCTCTTAGAATTACAGACGTTTTATTCATGGATGCAGCAGTGGTCAAGAAACTTTTGGTACATGTGAGGGAATAAAGGAGAAGTCTGTAGGCCACTCATCAGACCTTGGCACTGTTCAGCAAAGATGCAAAACAAAACTTGAAAATAACTTTGTTTCATACCAACTGTCTATGAGTCAAACCTCATCTCCTGGCTTGAGAAGGATGGAACAAAAATCATTACAAAATCCAGGATAATTATTCTCTTATTCTGTTGTGCCATCATCATAGCTGGCACAGAGCCCATCTCCCTAATTCACAGTGTCCTTAGTCAGGTACTCCACCCAGACTTCATAAGCTAATACTACTTTCATCATGTAAGTTGGAGGGTTTACTGGATTTTAATGTCAAACACTGTCATAAAATTAAAGCTGCAAGAAAAACACAGATCTTCACATTTTGTAGATGCTAAAAAGGATGAAGATTTATGTTTCTCAGTAATGTGAAGTGTGCCTTCATTCTGAGCTTTTTGTCAAGTGACAACCATTAGTGTTTTGGGATGTAGTTTCAGTGCAATTATTCAAAAAGAAACACCAGATATATAATTCTTGCTAGGGGTTACCAACCTGCATGATAATGGAGACATAGAAAAAAAATATCAAGAACTGATAGAGCCTTTATTTTCCATGAAGTTAGCCAAACACAAACAAATTAACTTTCTAAAGAATGACAGTTTGTTCCCAGGTTGAGAATTTATATGGCTTGTTTAATGGTTTGGCTGTAAAGTCAAAAATAAAGTGGTTTGTAAAGGAATTCAGTCATTGGCTGCTGGTCTTGTTATGAACATAGCTCCACTAAAAAAGGAATCAGAATTTGACTAATGGAAAAATATCATATAAAAGAAAGTAAAAAGAGATTCAGAATTAGAACCAGAATTTCCTGACCCTCAGTGCCAGTTCTTGTACATACTCACCAGTGGAAAATGAGCATAGTGGAGCTCCAGCACAAGATTTTTTTCAGAACTGGCCTCCTAATCTCTCTCAATAGATGGAATTAGTAATATATTATTGCTTTGTTTGTGGAGTGTTGTTCTGAAGGGTCTTAAGGAAGAAGTGTCTGATGTGCTCTATCCACTTAACTAAACATGATGCTGGGCAACCTGCTCTAGTTGACCGTGCTTTGAGCAGTGGTGTTGGACCAGATAATCTCCAGAGGTCCCACCCAGCCTCATCTATTCTGTCATTCTTTTGTTTTGTTTCTTTTTGTTTTGTCTTTAATTACAACTATACTGCCACTAGCAATATTTTTGCTTATGAATGTTACCTTCAGTCTTAAATGCTCTATGTTTCTTGGAAACCTCAACAGGGAAATTATAACTCTGGTCAAAAAAGATACACATCTAAATAAGATTTAGTGTATACCTGTTTTGCAGGTGATGAAGAGATGCCCAAAAGCAAAGACTAAGCTGTTGCTGAGACTGAAACAGCACTCTGGAATGGAGTTCTCTCTTTCACCAGCAGAACATAGCTTTACCCTACTTCTGTCTTTTAAATCTCTTGGATGCTACCAAGAAGGCTTGTTGTCCTCCATCCTTTTCCATCCATGAAATTTATTTCCTTCTCCAGTTCATGGATTTTTACTCCAGAATCAGCATTTTCCCTATAGAAAATAAATATAGTTTTAGCTCTCAGCAGCAGCAAGCTCACATCTCAGAGCTTAGTTTTAGAGCCTTTGAGGCACTGAGATTCTTACCAATTTCATTTGTAAACTTGTAGAAACTACTTCAATTATCAGCTCCCACCTGTTTTACTGAGTATTTTTTAAGATAATGGTGTTAGCAGCACTAACAGTGCCTC